CTCCCCCTGCTCCACAGCTTCTCCCCCTGCTCCAGCCCCAGGAGCTGTGGTTGGGTAGGTCCTGCTGGGTCAGAGCCCATCTGACCTGGCAGAGGCTCTTTGAGAGGCTGAGAAGGATCCAAAGGCTTTTCCTTGCTTTCCTCTCCACGATTCTTCCTACCAGGGTGAGCTGTGGGGACAATCACACTGAGCTGTGAGTACAAGTCCCACACTGAGCTGTGGGGACAATCACACTGAGCACTGAGTACAAGTCCCACACTGAGCTGTGGGGACAGTCACACTGAGCACTGAGTACAAGTCCCACACTGAGCTGTGGGGACAAGACCAAGGCCCAGACCAAGAGACAGGAGAAACTTTCCAACCTGCTGTAAACTTGGGTGTGGAGTTGGCTCAGTCTGTTCCTGGTATGGATATCAAGCTAATCACTCTCCTTTGAGATGAGGAAGTGAGTTCAGACACTCTCAGGGCAATAAAGGCACCTCCAGGGCCTTGGGTTGGAGGAGCTGAAGTTGTGCTCATGCGTTGTCCCTCACTGGAGTGTTCCAGGCCCACCTGGATGAAACACTGAGCTATTCACTCTAGGATGGCTCTGCTTGAGTCAAATTTCAGTCAGTTCACTGACCAAATTAGGATCAAAAAGCCTTTCAGGCTGTCAAAGTGAGCTGAGATGAACTGAGGGATCAGCTCCTGGAGCCATAAGTTGACAACTTCCATCTGCCTTGGAGTGGTTTAGGAGCATGGAGAGGTTTGGGGTGGAAGAGGTGGTAAAGTTCATCTCATTCCACCTCTTGCCATGGGCAGGGACACCTTCCAGTAGACCAGGTGGCTCCAACCTGGCCTGGGACACTTCCAGGCATGGAACATCCTCTGGGAGATCCATCTCAGCCCCTCACCACCCTCCCAGGGAGGAATTCCTGCCAAAAATCCCATCTAAATCTCCCCTTTTCCAGCAGAAAACCATTCCCTGTGTCCTGTCCCTCCATCCCTTGTCCCAGTCCTTCTCTAGCTCTCCTGGAGCTCCTTTAGGCACTGGAAGAGGCTCTGAGATCTCCCTGGATCTTCCTTTCTGCAGGCTGACACACACACACTCATCCCATCCCATGGGCAGGGACAACTTCCACCAGCCCAGGTGGCTCCAAGCAGTTCCCATTCCCACAGTCTTTCCTCCTCTTTATGGATGGTTTTTTTTTGAGGTGTTCCTTGTTAGTTTCCATGCTAAATTCAAGCCCAAACCCTTCAAACCTGAGGTAGCAGCAGATGGTGATGACAGAGCTCAGGGACAGGTGTCAGAATCCACCTGGGAACAAAAGGCCTTGGCAAAACGTTCCATCTAATCCCCGTAATTATGTTTTGAAAGGAGAGAGGGAAATCAGCCTGGAGCGTCAGGATCTCCAGGAAGGATCAGGGACATGAATTTTCTCAGGGATGGGAGCCAAGTTATCGCTGCAGGTTCCTGTGGTGGCACAGAGGAGACCGTGAGGGACATGGAATCATGGAATGGTTTGGGTGGGAAGGACCTTAAAGCTCATCCCATCCCATCCAAGGGCAGGGACATCTTCCATTAGCCCAGGTGGCTCCAACCTGGCCTGGAACACTCCCAGGGATGGAGAATCCTCTGGGAGATCCATCCCAGCCCCTCACCACCCTCTCAGGGAGGAATTCCTCCCATTCCCTATGTCCTGTCCCTCCATCCCTTGTCCCAGTCCCTCTCCAGCTCTCCTGGAGCTCCTTTAGGCACTGGAAGGGGCTCTGAGGTCTCCCTGGAGCTTCTCTTCTCCAGGTTGACCCACACACTCATCCCATCCATGGGCAGGGACACCTCCCTCCAGCCCAGGGTGCTCCAAGCTCTGTCCAACCTGTCTTGGAACACCTCCAGGAATCAGGACCACAACCTCCCTGCTCAAATCCCACCACCAGGACCATCTCACCACCATATCCCAGACCCCAGGACCAACCAGTTCCCTGCAGACATTTCCCTGCTCAGCACTGGTCCCTCTCCAAGCCCTGGCTGCGCCCGGAGAAGGAGGGAAAGCGATCCTGAGGGATGAAGTTTTCCAACGGGAGAGGTGCTGAGTGACAGACATGCCGAGCAGTGTTTTCCTCCTCGTGCCTGAGGTGACTCATGGCACGTTCCCAAGGCTGGAGGAGGAGGAGGAGGAGGAGAGTCTGTCTGGCTGTCTCCAGGGGCAGCAGGAGGCACCAGCTCTGCCCGAGCCGCCGCCGGTTCCCGCGGTGTTATTGCAGCAGGGCGTGTGTGCAGGGTGAGCTCACCCTCCAGAATGCTGTGGGACATGCCAAGCTTAATTAATCAGGAACAGGAGCCACCTCAGCAAACCCATCCCAACCTCATCCATGCATAAAAGGGCTCTCCCCAAGCCTTGGAGAGCACAGGTTCACCTCTTCTCCTCCTCCTCCTCGCTCCAGGCCAGCACCTTCTCTCCTCTCTGCTCGCTGTAGCACCCAACCCAACCCAACCCAACCCAACCATGTCTCGGCAATCCACCGTGAAGATCCAGAGGGGGAGAAGTGGCTTCAGTGCTGCTTCTGCCGTGGTGCCCAACACGTGTCGCTCCAGCTTCAGCTCCTGCTCCGTCACCAGGCTCGGGAGCTGCGGCGCTGGCAGTGGCTTTGCAAGGCTTGGTGGTGGTTTTGGAAGCAAAAGCCTCTACAATGTTGGTGGCTGCAAGAAGATCTCTGTGGCTGGAAGGGGTGGAAGCTTCTACGGATCCTCAGGGTTTGGTGGTGGCGCTGGGAGTGTGTATGGTGGTGGCTTTGGCATTCCAGCTGCACTTGGCTATGGATATGGTGGCCTTGGTGGTGGTCCTGGATTCCCAGCTGGGGGTATCCATGAAGTCTCAATCAACCAGAGCCTTCTGAAACCTCTCAACTTGGAGATCGACCCCAACATCCAAAGGATCCGAAAGGAGGAGAAGGAACAAATCAAGACCCTCAACAACAAGTTTGCCTCCTTCATTGACAAGGTGAGACCTGAACTGCCCCAAGTGTCTGACTCCTCTAATGGGGACACTTTTTTTAGCTGCTTGATGAGCTACCTAAGCTCAGCAAGAAGGACTAGAAGTGAGGAACGGGACTGGAAGATGCCCTGGAATCTCCAGGGAATGGCACCTGCTCCACAGTGGTTGCCATGAATGAATCCCTTAGTTCCTCCTCGTTTGCTGCTCAACATCTCATAGACAGAGGGGCAAGAAAGCTCTAGAAGACAATCCCACCCTCCTGGAGCTGTTGGGGTCAATCCCACCCTCCTGGAGCTGTTTGGGCTCTCTCTGTTGAGCACTGATAACAGGTCTAGGTGCAGGAACCCACCAAAAGTGACCAAGAAATTGGCACCAGGGAGGAACAACCTTCTCACTGCTTGAGGTCCCTCAAGGCAATTCCCTTCCCATCGCTGCAACAGCAGCAGAATCTTTGGAGGTTTCGCTCCAAAGAGCCAAATCTCATCCAACACTCTCTGATCATCGATGCACAGGAACATTCTGCTCCATTTCTGCTCTGGTGGAACCTCTTTGGGTCCAAGGAGATCTTGTGGAGCTTTTTGGGGTAGGAGAGCTCTGAGGAAGGGAAGGCAAAGGAGCTCCTTGATAGCATATTTTTCATAGAAGAACAACTCCTGTTGTGCTCCTGATCTGGTTTTCCATCACTGGTGACACCAAATCCACACACTTCAGCTCTGTTTAGCAAAGCAATGAAGGAGCAGCAAGAAAATCCAAAGTTTTATGGATTTTCCAGGCTCTCCCGGGGTTTGTTTGCAGAGTAGAGTCCCTGCAGTCAACCACCCAGTTCCTCCTTCTCCCAGATGAGATTTTTTTCAGAGGAAAACCAGTTGGAAAGAGCATTTCACCCCCTGGTTCTGAGCTCCTCCATCTGAAAGGAGATCTCCACCAGTGTCCACTCTCTCACCTTGAGGATGTTTCTCTCCTTTCAGGTGAGATTCCTCGAGCAGCAGAACAAAGTGCTGGAAACCAAGTGGAGCCTCCTCCAGGAGCAGGGAATGAAGACAGTTAGGAACAACCTGGAGCCTCTTTTTGAGACCTACATCAACAACCTGAGGGTGCAGCTCAACACTCTGCTCAGCGACAAGGGCAGGTTGGAGGGGGAACTCGTCAACACGCAGTACCTGGTGGAGGACTTCAAGAAGAAGTAAGTTCCTGGTGGGAGTTCCTCACCTAGGGGTTGGTTCCTCACCTAGGTAGGTGCAAACTTTCCCCACTCCTCCTTAAACCAACCACCTAGAGAGCCTTGGGCTTCCCAACAGTGAAGGTTGTGATGTTTCCTCAAGGGAAACAGGGACCAATTCCAAATCTACCAACCCTTGAGGGATGATCTCCAACAGGATCAAAGACTTGGGAGCTAGGTTAGCTACAGGGAAGGAGAGATGAGGCACCAGGTCTGAGAGTTCCAGAGAAGCTTCAAAAAGCAGCAGGAGGAGGATGAGTAATGGGCAGAAATAAGTCAAAAGGGACAGAGTTGCTGCGAGTGTTGGGCTGGACTTGTTGTGACTGGTTGAGGTCGTGGTCTCTGGGCAGGAGAAAAGAGCTGTTGTATGCAAAATGCTCCCGGAGTTCCTTTCCAGGGAAATCACCTCCTGCCATCACTTGCCTAAGCAAATGCTCCTCCTGCCTCTCTCTGTTAGGTATGAAGATGAGATCAACAGGAGAACCATGGCAGAGAATGAGTTTGTGACGCTCAAGAAGGTAAGAGCAAACCCCAGAGCAAACCCCATGACTCTGTAGAGCTCCAGTCACACTCTCCACCCCAAATCAAATCGATTCCTCTCTCAAACCCTTTTTTTTTCTCCCCCCACACTGTTCCTTCCCTGGACTTCCTGCTGTCATGTGTTTCAAACACCTACCCCACCTCTCACCCCTCAGGATGTAGATGGTTCCTACATGAACAAGGTGGAACTCCAAGCCAGGGCAGATGCTCTGAACGAAGAGATCAGTTTCCTGAGAGCTCTCTATGAAGCAGTGAGTACAACCAAACCTTCCCAACCCTCAGTTTGGAGCTTCCCTCTCTCCATCCCTCTAGGAACCCTCTGATCCCTTCCCCAGGAGATGTCCAACCCTTGACCTCTTTAGAGTTGCACCAACACATCTCACAGCTGTGCCCATAACCATCTGGACCAGCCTCTCCCAGGTCTGAAGGGAATTTCCTCACCTGATTCTCTGTGCTCTTCCCAGGAGCTGTCCCAGATGCAGACCCAGATCTCAGACACCTCCGTGGTCCTTACCATGGACAACAACCGAAACCTGGACCTGGACAGCATCATCTCAGAGGTCAAGGCACAGTATGAGGACATCGCCAACCGCAGCCGCGCCGAGGCCGAGTCCTGGTACCAAACCAAGGTGAAGGCGCTTGGGGTTTCCATGCTGTTCTCTTCAGGTCTTCTCTGGAACAGATACAGGTTGATTCTTCCAGGGAAACCTTCTTGAAGGTCTGGCAGAGTTGACCTGCAGCTGCTGCTCTGGGCTCGTGGAAGCACCTGGGGGACTCCAGAAGTGGTGGATTCAGCCTTGGGTGACTCTTCTTCTCTCTGTGACAGTATGAAGAGCTGCAGGCCACGGCAGGGAGACATGGGGACGACCTCAGGAACACCAAGCAGGAGATCTCCGAGCTCAACCGCCACGTCCAGAGGCTCAGATCCGAGATCGACAGCGTCAAGAAACAGGTACAGGGAAGCAAATCCACAGCTGGAGCCAAATTACCCCTGGACTTAGAACCAGAGAGTTGGAAGAGGTCATCGAGTCCAGCCCTGAACCTGCCACTGCTGTGACCCCCAAACCCTAAGCAGATCCTCCAGGGCCACATCAGACACCTCTGAGACACCTCCAGGGCTGGTGGCTCCACCACCTCCCTGGGAAAACCCATTCCAGTGCCTATTCCTGTGCCTAGTCCAGTGTCCGAACCCTCTGACAGGAAAACATGGTTCCCAACATCTAATCTGACTCTGTAGGGAGATCTCAAGGGAGATCAAGACCTTGAGAGACTTGCAAGGGAGAGGAAGGAAAAGCTCAGAGAGAACTAGGCAAGTTCTGCTCCGTTTGAGCCTTTTCCCCTCACAAAGGGAACTGGAAGATGTTGCCCAGAGAGGTCATGGATCTCCTTCCCTGGAGATATCCCAGAGCCACCATCCTGTGGCAGGAGGAGAAAGGTGGGACCAGGTTGACCCTTTGTGGTCCTTTCCAGCCTAATTGGTGTTGTGACCTGTCCCTAAAAACAGTTACACTGATGGTGTTGGGATAAATGGGATCAAACCTGGTGGTTTCAGGGCAGGGAACAAACAGTTTAGGTCCTGTGTGGAGAATCAGAGAAGGGAAAGACCAATCTTGGTCTTGAGTGGAGAACTTGACCGTGGGTTTGTCTCCTGCAGTGTGCAAACCTCAAAGCAGCCATTGCAGACGCTGAGGAACGTGGAGAGTTGACCCTCAAAGATGCCAAGGCCAAACTGGCAGAGCTGGAAGATGCTCTGCAACAGGCCAAGGCTGACCTGGCTCGGCAGCTCCGAGAGTACCAGGAGCTGATGAACGTCAAACTGGCCCTGGACATCGAGATTGCCACCTACAGGAAGCTGCTGGAGGGAGAGGAGTGCAGGTGGGTGGGAAGTCTTCTGCTCCTGGGGCTGGGGAGAAAAGGGATGTTCAGCTCTTCTGGAATGCTCAGCAGGCTTTAGGAGGCAAAGAGAGAGAAGGTTGTCCTAGATGATGTGTCCTGTTGCTCCCCTCAATGTCACGAGATTTCTCACCCTCTCCCCTCATGCTCTGTCCCCTTTCCAGGCTGGTTGGAGATGTTCAGCTCTTCTGGAATTCTCACCAGGGATTTAGGGGGCAAAGAGGGGGAAAATTGTCCTAGACAATGGAAGTGGCACCAACCCATCCCTAAATGATGCCATGATCTAGTTTTTCTCCCCCAAAAAACCTCTAGGAAATGTATCCTATTGCTCCTCTCCAATCTCACCAGACCTCTCACCCTCTTCCTTCACGTTCTGTTCCCTTCCAGGCTGGTTGGAGATGTTCAGCTCTTCTGGAAGACTCACCAGGGGTTTAGAGGGAGAAGAGAAGGAGGGAGAAGGGAAACAGGGAGAAGGGAAACAGGGAGAA